CATTGCATATTGCTCATTGGTTCTGATTGAGTTGGTAGCAGTTCTACAATCATCATGCTCCTCCCATGATTCTATACACAATTTATATTGAACAAAGTTTGTTTTCATTTCAGGGCAATCTCTGCATGGTATAACGATCGAAGCTGGTTTGATTCATTATGCCAGAGAGTGATGGATCAAGACTGGTCTTGGAACCGGCCTTCTCTCGACTACTTGGAGCTTTACCATGCAGCCCGGAAATGAGAAACGGTGATAAACAATCGAAAAGGGGAGCGGGGAGCGGGGAGTGCGGAGTGCGATATCAGTGTCGATCTGACTCGAACTCGACGTCCTGTACAGGTTTTGTTATAATTCTGGCTTCATTTCCCTTAGTTATTAGGCCAAGGAATCTATGGTGGCACAAGCTTTAGAGTTCAATAATTGATTCATCTTTCTTTACAATGCAAGCATGCTTCAGCTTTTATAGATATGAATGTACGTTCTGATGTTCCAATAAATGGAATCTGATAATAAGATCCAAGTGGTTTATGCAGTCACTTGTTGTTCACCACTGAAAATGCTCACTAGTTTTTTAGTCTTGTTACTATACTGGTTGAAGTTGCTTCTGCTGGGACAGCCATTGAAGTGGTGGAAATGATAGTTTTTAGACCTGACTGTGAGGTGCTCAATAAACCTTTTTTTGTTTTTTTTTGTTTTTTTTTGGAAGATGGCAATTTATTTTCACATTTAAATTTAAAAACACATGCCAATTTCTAAAAACCGTTGTTGAAAATAAATTTATAAGCAAAGTCCACTTTCATCGACCAATAATTAACTTGCTTTTATGTAAAGAAATTATAGTATTCATGTACTTCCTGTTCTATGTGTTCAAACTATATCGTGCTTCTTGGTCAATGGTTTGGAAAAAAATTGCCCCAACATAACAATTGACACTTCTCTTGGCCAATAGGCATACGGGTGAGGCTGGTAAGCCAACCACGATGATCTTCTTCACGATATCAACCCTTGTGATAGTTGAGTCTAGATTGCTGCTAATTGACTCGTTGGAAGTAAAAATCAGAAAATTGTGTGGTACTAATGTATATTTTGAATTTAGCCAAGTTTCACCATACTATATGAAAGAAAATCAGAAAGATCAAAGTGAGTATAATTTTGAACAATCGTGAGGAGAATAAAGCATTTCTTAAATGAGTGTAGAAATCTCTCTCTAACAGACGCGTTTTACAACTGAGTCTAACGATGATATGTAACGAAGCACAAATTCAACTACACAAATTTGCAAGATCTTCATGAAATCTCTTAAGAAAAAGTACTACGTTGTCTTGTTCCTCAACCAACAGCTGCTCCCTCCACGTCCGACGTTGGGCAACTTTGAAGAAGAAACCAAGAAACTAGCTTCAGAGACAGCCACGTCTCTCTGTAAAACTAGCTCTTTCTCTCTGTAAAAAAAGAAAAAACAGAACTTTTACAGCGGATCGAGCACATTTACTGCTGACTTTGTTCGAGGATAAGGTTACAGAAATCTGAAATCAGTGAAGTTCTGTCAGAATCAAACCCATCACTTACTTATTTCTCTCATCTTGTTTCATCTAACTGCTACAACCAAGGCTTTAATTACAGCTTAAATTTTGTTCTTCAAAGGAAACAGAGCATCAAATGCTCTGTTTCCATGATTTGTTCTGTCACCATTCACTGTGTCTCCTCTATAATGGCTTTTCCTGTTCAGTAAAATTTGTGATCTTGAAACTAAGATTCTATACTATCCCCCATCACTTTCTTTTGCTTTCTCTGTTCTTTAAATTTTTCTTTGAGTTTAAAGGAAAACCCATCTCTGATCCCTCTGTTTTCCCTCTGGGCTCTGTTTTTGTCGTCTCCTTTAAAGCTCTGAGCTTCGTTGGAGATTTTCAGACCAACCCAGATCCCTTTAGCGTTTCCTTTTACCCTGTTCTTCATTTTTTTACAGCTACCCTGCCATTTTCCTCGTGATTTTTGGAATTATGGACAAAACCCAGAACTCTTGAAAGAACCTCTGTTTTTTTGTTTTGCTGTACTGAGTACTTTACAACAAAACCGAGGGTGGAATTCTAGAATCTACCGTGTTTTTCTTTTCGGTTTCCTGGATGAGTAATCACTAGAGCTATTTACTTACTGGGTCGAAGTTATTTCACCTTTTTCATAATCCATATACCAATGGCGAATTGGAGCTCTGTTCTGAGAAAAAGCTATGGCGTCAGTGAAGATTTGGAAGAAGAAGATGTTTGGAGTTCTGTTGAGAGTAATGACGAATCGTCTAATTTCATCACTAGAAAAACCAATGATTACTCGACTTGGCGACTTCCATCTGCTCCAAAAATGATACCGAAATCCATTTCGACAAGGACCCACGAAACCCAGATGACGGATAATCGATCCTCTGCTCCGGTGGTCATTCCAGATTGGTCCAAAATTTACGGCAAGATGGACTTTTCCGCTGAAAAACCCGACGACGGAGACCAAGAAGACGTCGACGGTGAAGAAGATGACGACATGGTGCCTCCTCATGAATGGATTGCTCAGAAATTAGCCAGGAGCCGAATCTCGTCGTGCTCTGTTTTTGAAGGGGTTGGAAGAACTCTCAAAGGGAGAGATTTAAGCAAAGTTCGAAACGCCGTTCTGTCAAAGACTGGTTTTCTAGAGTGATGTTTAGAGAACTAAAAAGGGCAGAGACGAATATGATCGTTTTGTTCTGTGTTTTTTTTGTTGATTTCCGCCATTGTTATGGTCTGTCAGAGCTTAGAACAGAGTTTCTAGCAAGAACTCGATGGGAGAAGTTCTTGTTAGTTGTTCATGGCTTAGATGTCTTTCATTTTACATGGCTAAGTGGTTTCTTATTTACGGAGCACTCTCATATCTGATAGCATCCCCACCTGTGTAGTTCTTCCACTCTTTTCCCTCCATGAAGAACAAGGGGAAGAAAGGGCACTTTTTTGAATCAAATTCAATCTTAGTTTTATTTTACCTTCAAGCATAGCTTACGGTTTTAAAACGAGTCTACTAGAGAGAGGTTCGTTCACCTCTTCAACCAATGTAGAATCTCACCGTCCACCCCACTTATAGGCGCAGCGCTTGACATATCTCCTAGTGTCTGGCTCAGGAGAGACTCGTTCACCTCTCCAACCGATGTGGGATCTCACAATTCACCCTGCGTAGCGTCATCGCTAGTACATCGTCCGGTGTCTGGCTCGGGAGAGGTTCGTTCATCTCTCTAACCTATGTGGGATCTCACAATCCACTCTACTTGGAGGCGCATCGTCCTCACTGACACATCGTCTAATGTCGGGTTTTGATACCGGTTGTGACAGTCCAAGCTTCCACACCTTTATAAAAAATATTTCATTTTTTTCGAATCGATGTTGGATCTCGCGAACAAAATTTTACATGAACTCAGCCATCTCAAAAAGTGCATACTTTTTCTTGTTTATCCACATTGCTCAGCAAACAAATCACCAGCTCTAAAAACAGCATTAGTGTTCAATGTTTGGTCGTAAAAGGCTAAAAGCTGTTTACCTTTGTCTTATAAGGTTGTGGGAAACGAGTATCTGTGAGATATGGCATCGGCATCAAACCCATCAAATCAAATATCACATCCTTTAACAGTGCCACAACAAAGAAGAAGAACAATCATTTTAAGGGAAAGTTTGAAAGAGAATATTTGATAGCGGTGTGCCACTGTTAAAGGAGGGAGTGGATCGGAGGATCCCACATCGATTAGAGAAGAGAGCGAGTGTCAGCGATGAGGCTGAGCCCTCGAATGGAGTGGATGGTGAGATGTCACATCAGTTGGAGAGGAGAACAAGACATTTTTTTTAAGGGTGTGAAAATCTCTCCCGACAAATGCGTTTTAAAAATTATGAAGAGAAGTACGAGAGAGGTAGCCAAGACAATATCTAGTAGCGGGACCAAGCCATATCTTATTTCTATATTCTATGTGTCTGTCTCTTTATTCTGTCTTTTGATGCAAAGCCTTAAAAGGAAGGTTGATCTTGGCTAGATTTTTGATATTGCATCCACATGGATTCAGATATGATGCTGAAAGAACACTCATTGTGATAGATCAAAGCCTTGGGGAAAATGTGCTGCTGTGTTGCTCTTGTCATTGTCGTCTACACCTCAAAGAATCTGGAAAACGGAATCCAAATCCAACCAAATATTTGCTGTTTTTAATGTAACATCCAACCCCACCCCAAGTCGGTTTTGGCCCATTACATAAACCTGTTAGCCTCACAGTTTTAAAATACATTCATTAGGAAGAGGTTTCTACGCTCTTAATAAGCCAACGTGGGATCTCACAATCCACCTGCTTATGGGTCAACATCCTCGTTGGCGCATCGCTTGAAACAACAACAAAGTGGTTGGTTCACCCTATTAGTTAGAGTAGCTGGAGTTATTCTGTATAAGCTCAAGCCCACCGCTAGTAGATATTATCTTTCTTAGACTTTTCCTTTCGGGCTTCTCTAAAACAAAGTGGTTGGCTTTAAAGTGCATTTGTTAGGGAGATGTTTCCACAAACTTATAAAGCCGATGTGAGATCTCACAATCCAACCCCTTATGGGTCAGCATCCTCATTCGCACACCGCTTGAAACAACAACAAAGTGGTTGGCTCGGCCCATTGGTTAGGGTTGTTGGAGTCATTCTGTAACAGCCAAGCCCACTACTAGTAGATATTGTCTTTCTTTGACTTTCCCTTTCAAGCTTCTCTTCAAGGTTTTTAAAACCTGTCTGCTAGGGAGAGATTTTCACACCCTAATAAAAAAAATACTTCATTCCCTTCTCTCACCAATATGGAATCTCATGTATTCTTTTGCCAGTCCATTCCAAGTAGGAAGTTGGGTCATGGGCTGTGGGCAAAGGACCAGTATCCACGGTCCTTAGAGTTGGAGCAAATCGTATGAGACCAATAACGATACGTAACCGATCAAAACAGACAATATCCAGTAACAACTTTGGTTAAATTTAGTAGATTTAGAAAGCATAAACCAGCAACTTTTACTCCATTTTCTTTGTCCCCTCTGTTGGTGGACTCTTTCGAGGGGATTAAGGTTGCTTGGTCTGGAAAAGTTCTGTAAGAGCTGAGCTTGGAGATTTGTAGTATTCATGGATTCAAGAACAACCATTTTCAGCGAGGTAAAGGAGGAGTGTTCTACAACGGACAGTTTTTATTTTCATTTATTTTAAAACGGTTCAAAGTTTCAAAAATTAATGGTATTCAGTTCTACTAATTAAAACTTATTAAAATGCTCCATGTTCTAGCTCTCAGACATAAGCTAAATTCACTTTCAGCTCTAAGCCATAGCCATTTAGATATCAAGAATTTCATTTGCTTGTTCTTAAGCAGCCCAGGTCCGACCCTTTCGACGTTGTTCTCCTCATCGTTACGTTACTGCTAAGAGCAGCTAAGAGCAAATTTAGGTGAAGAAGGCAACCAAAAATGTCTATGAAGAACAAAGTTGGAGGAACTGGCTTGGATTTTGCTTCAAGATATGTGTTATTAAAGAAGTGGGCCTTTTTCCTTTGTTTTGTGTGCTTTTCTGCTGCCATGCTTTTTACAAATAGGTACTCTTTAATTGCTTCATCTGCTTGATGAACTGGTCTTTACACCCTATTGATCTGCTGTTGTTAAGAATATCGTTCTGTATTCGATTCTAACTCGATCGAGATTGCGTTCGATTCGTTTGTTCGTTCGTTCGAACTTTAACTTTGTCAGGATGGGGATAGTGCCCATGGCTAATGGTGTTGCACTGAAGTCTACAATCTCCCATCAAAGAATGGAGTTAAAATCTGAGTCTTATGATCCAGAATTTGTGAGTGATTCATTTTCTTAATGAAACTAAAGTTTTTTCATCACCGTCCCACGTCGGTTGGGGAGGAGAACGAAACACCCTTTATAAGGGTGTGGAAACCTTTCCCTAACAGACGTGTTTTAAAAACGGGAAACCCAGAAGGGAAAGTCCAAAGAAGATAATATTTGCTAGCGGTGGCTTGGGCCATTACAAATGGTATTAGAGCTAGCACCGGACAATTTGCCAGCGAGGAGGTTATTCCCCAAAAGGGGTAGATACGAGGCGGTGTGCCAGTAAGAACGCTGGGCTCCGAGGAGGGTGGATTTGGTAGGGGTCTCACATCGATTGGAGAAAGGAACGAGTGCCAGCAAGGACGCTGGGCCTTGAACGGTTGAGGAGGAGAACAAAACACCCTTTATAAGGGTGTGGAAACCTTTCTCTAGCAGACACGTTTTAAAAAACCTTGAGGGAAAGCTCGAAAGGAAAAGTTCAAAAAGGACAATATCTACTAGCGGTGGCTTGAGCCGTTACAAATGGTATCAGAGCCAGACACCAGACAATGTGCCAGCGAGGAGGCTGTTCCCCAAAAGGGGTAGACACGAGGCGGTGTGCCAATAAAAACGCTGGGCTCCGAAGGGGGTGGATTTGGTAGGGGTCCCACGTCGATTAGAGAAAGGAACGAGTGCCAGCGAGGACGTTGGGCCCTGAAGGGGGTGGATTGTGAGATCCCACATTAGTTGGGGAGGAGAACAAAACACCCTTTATAAAGGTGTAGAAACCTTTCCCTACTAGACGCGTTTTAAAAATTTATGTTCTTGATTTGTGATGAACTTTTCTACCTTGTTTGTACTTTATCAAGGCGAAAACTAAGGCATTTGGTGCAAGGCCAGAAGAGTTTTCAAGGTCTCAGCTTAGTATTCAGTAAGTAAAACGCTGATGTTTGAATCAAATTGAATTTACTTTCTTAAGATGTCACAAAAATGAGTGTTCTAAGACCAAATTTTCTGCTAAAACATTACCTGCAGGACACTTGCTAAGAACATCATAGATCTGGAGAAGAAACTTGCAGCTGTAACGATTAGTCACACATCTGCATCAAATGATTCGACTTCGAAAAGAAAATATTTAGTGGTTGTAGGAATTAATACAGCTTTTACGAGTCGAAAACGAAGAGATTCGGTTCGTGCAACATGGTTGCCACAAGGTCTGCTACGTCACAAGTCCTGAGTTCTTCCTTTGGTTGCTTAATTTGGTAGTGATGTTCATAATGTGTTCATATTAGGTGAGAAAAGAAAGAAGTTGGAGGAAGAGAAAGGCATAATCATTCGTTTCGTTATCGGTCGAAGGTAAACGAAGAACACGAATTTCGTTCTTGTTAAGTTGTATACTACTATGATGAATTGATATCAACTATTACTTTATGTTGGTTGATAGCGCAAATCCTGGTAGTAAACTCAACAAGATGCTTGATGATGAGGAGCGTGAACATGGAGACTTCCTTAGGCTGGTAATACCATCAAGCCATCAACATTGCTACTATTGCTACTATTGCTACTATTGTTCTTGTTTCGATCCTATATTAATTGGAGAGGAGAACGAAACGTTCCTTATAAAGATGTGGAAATCTTTCCCTAATAGATGCGTTTTAAAAGCCTTGAGGGGAAGCTCGAAATAGAAAGCCTGAAGAGAACAATATCTGGTAGCGGTATGCTTGGGTTGTTACAAATGGTATCAGAGCTAGACACTGGGCGGTGTGCTAGCGAGGATACTGGGTTTCCAAGGGGTGGATTGTGAGATCCCACATTGGTTGGAGAGGAGAACGAAACATCCCTTATAAGGTGTGGAAACCTCTTCTTAACATACGCGTTTTAAAAGTCTTGAGGGGAAGCCCAAAATGGAAAGCCTGAAAAGAACCATATTTGTTAGCGGTGGGCTTGAGCTGTTACAAACAATATCAGAGCTAGACACTGGACAGTGTGCTAACGAGGACGCTAGGCCCTAAAGGGGGTGGATTGTGAGATCCCACATTGGTTAGAGAGGAAAAACTTAGAAGGGAAACTCGAAATGAAAAGTCCAAAGAGGATAATATATGTTAGCAGTGGGCTTGGGCGGTGACATTTAGTTCTTATTGAAGAGAACAATGAAAGATCCGAACGTGATACTTGATGTTCATATCTTATAAGCAGAATCATGTTGAGGGTTACCTCGAGTTATCGGCCAAGACGAAGACTTACTTTGCTACAGCTGTTTCATTGTGGGATGCCGAGTTTTACGTCAAAGTCGACGATGACATCCATGTGAACTTAGGTGAGTTATCAGTAAGAAGTTCTCATGTTTCTTCAAATATTTAAGGTTATATCCTTTCATCTACCACAGCTGCGCTCGGAACGACCTTGGTTCGACATCGGAATAAACCTCGGGTTTACATTGGTTGTATGAAGTCCGGACCCGTCCTCTCCAAGAAGTAAGAGTAACTTGTTCGTTTAAGATATGAAAACAAACATTCTTACCATTGGATCTGCTGTTTTGATACAGGGGAGTAAAGTATCACGAACCGGAGTATTTGAGATTCGGCGATGAGGGGAATAAATATTTCCGTCATGCTACGGGACAGTTATACGGAATCTCGAAAGATTTAGCTACTTACATCTTACAAAACCAGTTAAGTTCTTATAAAATCGTTTCGAAGTAGCTTCGCTCGTGATTAAACGACTCGAACTGATTCATTCTTTCAGGGATGTGCTGCACAAGTATGCCAATGAAGATGTTTCATTGGGTTCTTGGTTTGTTGGTTTAGATGTGGAGCAAGTGGATGACAAGAAACTATGTTGTAGCACCCCACCTGGTAAGTTCTTTAACCTCCGATCCCAACTTAGTTGGAGAGAGGAAATTTCTCCTTCATAGACGCGTTTTAAAATCTTGAGGAGAAGCCCAAAAAAGACAATATCTACTAGTGGTGGGCTTAAACTGGTACAAATAGTATCAGAGTCAAGTTACTGGACGGTGCGAGGCATTGGTGGGAGTAGGGCTAGACCCTCTCCATTTGCTAGCAATGGGCTTGGGCTGTTACAAATGGTATCAGAGTCAATCACGAGATGATGTGCTCGCGAAGACTTTGGGTCCCTAAGGGAGGTGGATTGTGAGATACCACATCTGCTGGTGTAACAGCCCACGCCCACCGCTAGCACACATTGTTCACTTTAGTCCGTTATATTAAATGAGCGTTTTTTTAGATTTAGCAAGTAATGGTGGTTTTGTTTGTGTAGATTGTGAGAGAAAAGCTTTGGGAGGTGAAGTTTGTGTGGCTTCATTTGATTGGAGATGCAGTGGGATATGCAACTCAGTGGAAAGGATGAGTGAAGTTCACCAAAAGTGTGCCGAAAATGAGACTTCTTTATGGAGTTCAAGCTTTTGAATCATGTTGAAATTGGTCTGATATAGGTTTAGATTCATATGTTAACAGCTTTGTAGGGAAGAGATATACCTTTACTTCATAATGTATTGTTCGAGCCATTAGATATTAGAATTCTCGAGAGCTTTCATGTTCGTATTTGTGATGTAATGTGATAAGTAAGTAATCAAAATGTTACTCGATTCAAATTCATATCGCGAATCTGTACATTTGTAAGTATCTCTCTCGATCTCGAATTGAGACTCACCCTTTTGGTAGAGGCTAAGGGGAACTTGTCCCCCCGATCTCTTTCGGAAAAGAAGATGGCTCATCTCGCTCAAATGTTTACCAATTGAGAACGTGAAAGTGCTTTTTGCTTGAATTCATATTGTGAATTTGTACATTCTAAAGAATTAGAAGAGGGGATCTCTCTCGATCTTGAATTGAGACTCACCTCCTTGGGAGAGGCTCAGGAGAACCTGTCTCTCGATCTCTTTTGGAAAACAAGGCGGCTCATCTCGCTCAACTGTTTACTGCTCCCAGAGTGCGAAAGTGCTTCTTGCTTGAATTCTCATGTTAGGGTCCGTTTGCTGCGGTATTAATACTAACTATTTAATGGAAAAACTATTTAGCGGGACTCTGTATTTTCATGCTCTTAAACTAAATTAACTTTACAATTTCATTTTTGTTAAATTAGTGAGTTTTAAGTAAAAAATTGAAAAGAAGTCAAATTAATGTTTTATTTATTTATTTTCTTTGTTTTTTTAACAATAAATAAATATATACAATAGTATCCAAAGGACTAGGCATCAAGGGGTGGTGGCGCAGTTGGCTAGCGCGTAGGTCTCATAGCTTCGAGTTATCCTGAGGTCGAGAGTTCGAGCCTCTCTCACCCCAATTCTCTTTTGTACTAATTTGGAAGAAGTAGTCATGTGGGGCTTCTTTTGGGCCTGTAGTGGGCTTTGCTCTAGAAAGCCCACCCAAAGCCTTTTATCACCTTTTCTTAACAATATGTCGTTTGTCATCTTCCTTTAATTGTAAGTTTAGTTGTTTTTGGGCCGGGCTACTTTATATAATGTTGGGCCTGGGTTAAGAATTTGGGCTCTATAATTGGGTCTGAAAAGAGTGGGCCTAGTACCGATTTAAACGGGCCCGGTTAAGTGGCATAGCTTGGTATACAAGTAATTTGATCTGTGATAAGAGGGTGTGTTGGGTTAACGTGGGGGAATCGAGAAGAAAACTCTGGTACGTTTCGTCGTCTCCAAGTGTTCGGCCTTTATTTTACGATCGACTTCTCACAGCTTGATCTTCCTGTCTCTTTGGTCATTTTCGTTTAATTAGCTCTGCCAATTGGTATTGTAGGCACTATCTTCATCGATTTTTCCTTGGTAATTTTCAGAACTGCTGTTCTTGTGTATTCGTAATTTCTTTTGTTTTGTTCAGTTGTTGTTTTCGATTCTGTTTCCATTGGACTTCTGGACCTGGATTTTGTGCTGTTGTATTGATCTGATGCTTGAATTCGCAGATATCGTTTGAGATTCCCCATGGCCAAAAGCTCGTTCAAGCTCGAACATCCTCTAGGTTTTTCTTTTTCACAATTTTGACCATTTTGATCATTTCTTGAACTTTATTGTTTATTTAATTTATGTGACGAATCGTGTCAGTTTTCGCGTACTTTTGATACTTAATTGGCCTTCTGATATTCTAATTTAACTTTTGGGGTGGTTAATCCTTGATGTTTTATTCGTTTTTTGTGATTAGTGCCACTCACGTCGGGTATTAATTAGGGTCTGTTCTTATGATTGCGAATGAGCTTCTTTGAACTGTGTAATTGGGGGTAATTTTAAGTTCCTTTCGTCTCTTTTCGCTGGAATCTTGATGTGAGAGGTTTTTTTCTGGTGAAAACTTGTTTCTGCCTAACATTTGGTCTCCTGGATTAATTGAAAACCAGTCAATTGATTTCTGCGCTTTCTCTCAGCCTCCTTTTGATATTGTTTCAGTGTCACATTTAGTTAAACGCTCATTTCCCTTCCAGTCTTGCATGGTCTTTACTTTGTTTTAAACTATTCCTCCAATGTTATAGAAAGGAGACAAGCAGAAGCTGCTCGCATCAGGGAGAAATATCCGGACAGAATTCCCGTAAGAATGTTAAACTTTCATATCAGTGTTCGTCACCTACTGCACTCCAATTTTCTCTGTTAATGTGATTTAAATGCAGGTGATTGTGGAGAAAGCTGAAAGGAGTGACATTCCTGACATTGATAAGAAGAAGTAAGTTCCATAATGACTTGATTTTGTATAAACCAGTTAAAATTGAACTTCTTAACTGAAATCAGCTGAGGGGAGAGGCATTTCATTGTGTTACAACTCCAGAACTTGGTTTCTATGATTAGCTGCTGGCTTATTCTTTAATCTCCACAAAATATACGAATCGTCGATGCTGAAGTCCTGATTGTCAGATATTATGCTGTGGTTTCTTTTTAATCTAGTGCTGATAGGAAGAACATACATGATGGCAACAGTACCTAGCTCTGTTTGCCAATAATGGAGGAATATTAAGACCATAATTTGAAAGGAGTTTAAAATTCTCGTAGTACATTGGATTGTATACAATCGGATGGGCAGTTTGTCTATACTAACTCTTTGTTGTTACTATGGGGTTTTGAAGCACAAGTAGATTTTACTCGTTGGTGTCAATTAAATGATCTGTGGACGTCAGGTGCTCTACACGGTGCTTTTGGACTAATAGGTTTCATGTTACATCAATTTAAACTCGCTTAATATTTTTACCCTTTTCATGACTTTAGGTACCTTGTCCCTGCTGACCTCACGGTTGGGCAGTTTGTTTATGTTGTCCGGAAAAGGATTAAGCTTAGTTCCGAGAAGGCTATTTTCATCTTTATCCAAAACACACTACCTCCAACTGGTTAGTTGAATTTCTTGTTCTTTTAATATGTACATTTCACTTGGTGTAGCATGAAGAAATGCGTTTGTGTTTGCCTAATATATGTATTGTCACAGCTGCTTTGATGTCATCAATCTATGAAGATAACAAGGATGAAGATGGTTTTCTTTACATGACTTACAGTGGAGAGAACACCTTTGGATTCTGATGACTTCAAATCATACTTCGTCTGTAAATGAAATTTAAAAAGCTGTAAATTCTCCTTGCTTGCTTGCTTCCCCATGTCAGCTATCTCAGCTTCTTGTCTATTTCCGATTACCTTAGGCCTATCTTTCCACTGGCACTAGTAATGTTAGTACATGTTGCTCATTAAGAACTTCATTAAGTGTTGGGCTCTGGATTTCATGGTGTTCTTCCCCGCCCAAACTGTGAAAAGAAATGTGGGTGTTTGTGTGGTGAGAATCCATGGTTTCCATTCCTCTATTCTAATGTCTATTTCATGTAAGCATCAGATGTTTCTGACTATTAATTTCCACGTTTGCCTCGTTTTAATGTTCAGTTAAGGATAATTCACAAGAAAGAGCAGGGGTATCTTATTAGGTCTCTCTGATGAGAGGGAGTGTAATAACCGGTAGCAGATATTGCTTGCTTTGACCTGTTATGTATTGCGGCAGTCTCACAATTTTAAATCGCGGCTGTTAGGGAGAGGTTTTTACACCTTTATAAATAATGTTCTATTCTCTTCTCCAATCGATGTTGGGATCTCACAATCCACCCCTTCAGATCCCAACGTCCTTGCTAGCACATAGCTCTGTGCCCAACTTTGATAATACTTTGTTCTACCTCATTTGGGGTCTAACGTCCTTGTTGGTACACCGCTTGATGCTTAGCTCTAATATCATTTATAACGCCTTAAACCCACCGTTATCAGATATTGTCTGTTTTGAGCCGTAAGCACGGTTTTAAAACACTTCTACTAGAGAGAAGTTTTTACACAGTCATAAAGAATCCGCATTGAACCGAGACGTGGGATCTCACATGAAGATATTCCAATTCTATTTCTCCCAAGAGCTTTGTACAAATGCTCAAACAAAGATGAAGATATAACGTCTCCCCGCCCTGCACATTGTATCGTTAACACATTATACATATCACAATTAATGTTGTTGAGCTAAAAAAAAAAAAACTCTTAACCCAAATTTTCGAATTTTTCGTGAGATTTATTGCACAACGACACACAATCCCAACAAACGATCCTCTGAAATTGATTTTTGAACCACCGAATATAAGATTGATTACAAGAATTTATTGCAGGGCCCCTCGCTACAACCGATGCTCTTCCTTCGAGTTTCATTTCAGGTACACCACTCCAACATTCTTCTTATTACACTCTTATTGCGTAGGCTTACACTATCAATACCCTTCACTGCAATTCCTTCTGATAATCTTCATTATCAACAAGAACCTAGAAATGAAGAACATGGTTTGATAAACAAATTCAATGTAAATTTGAAGATCTCGAGGAAAGAAAACTCACAATCTGCCACCCATCAGGATCCAGAAACGTTGTAATCTTGGCTTTGATTTGAGGATCCAAACTGGGTTGTTGGGTTATCTTTCCTCCAAGTTCTTGTATGATCAGATTGAGTACCTCAGCGCTCTTGTTTACATTATCAGTCCCAATAGCTACCTGAAACCATTTAATCAAGAACAGCTGCTATAACTTGAAAGGATAAGTTAATCATTGATATAAGTTTTGACCTGGGAATATCCATTTCCCTTTGAATGTTGTGTCACGCCATGGTTGTAAGTCAGCTCAAGAACGGTGGTCTCTAACTCATCTGCATACCCCACCATGGCTATGGCGTACTGCAGAGTTGATTGTTTGTGTATTGAAAAGTGTAGCATTTCATTAGCTTTCATTTCTGATGATTGATGGATTTTATGTAAAAGTGAAAAGGAAGTTCACCTTGTGTTCTAGACTCTCAATTCTGGTAAGAACTCTCATTCCCAGTGCCTGTAAAGACATGGATTCAAATTCAGGATTAGAAGTTCTAGCAGCTCTTCAGAAAAAGTCTTTGTGTGGGTGAATTTGGTGTTGTTTTAAACTCTCTTTGTTTCGGTCCAAGCCTACTGCTAGTAGATATTGTTCTCTTTAGATTTTTTTTTTTTTTTTCGGGCTTCCCCCACGTTGTCTGCTAGGGAGAGGTTTCCACACCTTATAATGAGTGTTTTGTTCTCCTCCCCAACCAATGTGGGATCTCATAATCAACCCCCCTTCAGGACCCAACATCCTCGCTGACACTTG